ACGCTATGAATGGCTCAATACTTGACGCCGTGAAGCAGGAGAAAAACCTTCAAACTATCCATACGCTATGAATAGCTCAATACTTGGTGCCGTGAAGCAGGAGAAAAACCTTCAAACTATCCATACGCTATGAATGGCTCAATATTTGATGCCGTGAAGCAGGAAAAAACCTTCAAACTATCCATACGCTATGAATGGCTCAATACTTGACGCCGTGAAGCAGGAGAAAAACCTTCAAACTATCCATACGCTATGAATAGCTCAATACTTGGTGCCGTGAAGCAGGAGAAAAACCTTCAAACTATCCATACGCTATGAATGGCTCAATATTTGATGCCGTGAAGCAGGAAAAAACCTTCAAACTATCCATACGCTATGAATGGCTCAATACTTGACGCCGTGAAGCAGGAGAAAAACCTTCAAACTATCCATACGCTATGAATAGCTCAATACTTGGTGCCGTGAAGCAGGAGAAAAACCTTCAAACTATCCATACGCTATGAATGGCTCAATATTTGATGCCGTGAAGCAGGAAAAAACCTTCAAACTATCCATACGCTATGAATGGCTCAATACTTGACGCCGTGAAGCAGGAGAAAAACCTTCAAACTATCCATACGCTATGAATAGCTCAATACTTGGTGCCGTGAAGCAGGAGAAAAACCTTCAAACTATCCATACGCTATGAATGGCTCAATACTTGACGCCGTGAAGCAGGAGAAAAGCCTTCAAACTATCCATACGCTATGAATGGCTCAATACTTGACGCCGTGAAGCAGGAGAAAAACCTTCAAACTATCCATACGCTATGAATGGCTCAATACTTGATGCCGTGAAGCAGGAGAAAGACCTTGGTATGTGTGGATTGATAGTGACTTGACCTGGAACAAGCAAGTTGTTGAACAGAGCTCAAAAGCAAACAAACTTTTGGGTTTCATCAAGAGATCATGTAAGAAGATAAGAAACCCCAGAAGAAGATGCCTGTTCCTAGCGATTGCACGACCTCATCTCGGCTACGCCACGCAGATTTGGGCTCCTCAGACGATCGATCTGATTAAACGAGTAGAACGAGTTCAGCTTTCGGAAAGCGTAAAAATACACTCGCCTGCGGCTCGAGTATTTATTTTTACGCTCCCACACAGGGCCCACAGTAATTGGTGTATACTGTTGTGGTGACCCTACCACGTGTTTGTTGTAAGTGGCAAAGTTTAATAAATAAATAAAGTATGAAAGCCGTGTGAAAATTTCCGAAAATATATATCACCGTAAAATATATAAAATATATATAATTAGGTTTCGTTGTTTTAAAAAAAATTGGCTCAGTGGATATTCAGAGCATAATTAAATAAGGGCAACGACTCAACCAATTCCACTAGATAAAAAAATAAAGATGCCTAGAAAAATGAAGGTACCTAGTGGAATTATTATTTATTTATGAAAATAAAAATGCTTAGTGGAATTTATTGAGTTGTTGCAATTATTTAAATATATATGTTTATATATATGCCGTGTACTCATAAGTACGCTCTCCCAATACAGTGGCTATACATAATAGGTTTATTAATAATACTAGGTTTATTAAAAAAAACTTACAAGTTAATACATAAAACGTACAAGTTAATACATAAATTATCAAGAGTAACTACCTCTTTAAAAATCTATCAGATTACATACTGAGTATTTTTACATGTTAGAAGATATCAATAGACCCTTAACATGACGTCACAGCGCCGGTGACGATGCATCTGGAGGACAAATTAGCAATCTATGCATAATATAACTTTTGTAAACAAAGCAAATTTTGCAAAAGTTTATAATAATTTTGTATTAAAATGGTTAATTTTCGCGCTGTATGTGGTTGTTGTACCCGAACATATATTGTTAGGGAGCATCTGGAGGACACTCTAAGGATTTGTGACGTCAGTGCAAAGGGTATATATTTACAAGTTATAAAATTTAAAAATCTATCAGTATATTTATGGAACTATTAATTATTATATTCATGATTTGTCCCAACGCGGTTGTAATTGAAGAGTTTTTTAAGCGGACCAAATGATTTATTGTCTTTTAATAGCAAACTCCTTCTGCAGCGACTCTTCATATGACGATCCAGGGTCAATTATTGTTAAGGCTCGCTTTTGGACTCTCAACTTTACCTTTTAACTAGTCCGGAATAGCAGACCAAACAGGGGCAGCGTATTCGAGGATTGGTCTGACCCAGGGCGCCATAAAACACGGCAACGACGCACCTGATCTATGTCACAGAATAAAGACATACAGAAGTGTATCTTCTTATTAAAAGTGCGTAAGGGATTTTTTCAGTCCGCCATGTTCTTAGCAAGTGCCCTAAAGAGAGGCAGTCACCCCCCTGAAAACATGTTGAAAATTTAATATTCCAGGGGGGTGAATGCCTCTCTTTAGGGCACTTGCTAAGAACATGGCCGCCAGCTATTTCGGTAAAAAAGGCCTTACGGTTTTGTAATGGAAGTTACACTTCTGTATGTCTTTATTCTGTGTCTATGTGTGATGTGCGGACCCCCCATAGGTTTTCGAATAATATTGGAAATTCTCATTCGAATATCAACATTTGAAAAGAAAGACACGGCAAGAGTTAAAATAAGAAACATGGGCTAGTTGAAACCACTGGTTGAAACTCATTTGCAAATGAACACCAAAACGATTTACCTCTGGGATGAACTATATGGAATGAGAGGTTTATGTACTTAAAGTAATTGTGCCAAAGTCAAGAGGGAAATTATAAAGAAAATGTGGTTTGTCTAGAACAGCCTGGAAAGGTCAGTACACTTTTAAAGATATAAAGTGGTTGGAACGGATATTTTTTCTAAAGATACGGTTTTTCCTGCGAGTCTATAGCTTGGGACTATCTTTTAACGTCGTAGAGAACTGAAAAAGAAACAAGTCGAAACATTTTTTTCCGCGCTTCGTGTTTAATGAGTAAAAATCCCTGACAGTATCTTCGTTGTGTCATGTGAGACCAGGTTAAAACTAGGTGGAAAAATCCTGTGTTAACAAAAAAGCCGGTCTTTTTAAGAAAAATCAATTTTAAATAACTTTAACAACAACTGTGCAAATTTTTAGGCAAAATTTTTCACCTAGGAAAAAAGATATAAATAAAAATATTTTTCCGCGGTTTGAGTTTCATGGCCTTGTCTTTCCGAGCGAGACAATGCATAGCAAAACCAAGCCAAAAAATTGTGTTTTCACAAAAAAAGGCCGGTCTTCGTTCTAATAAAAATCGATTTTCCATAACTTTACTAAGAATTGCAAATTGTAGGCAAAGTTTTTCACCTAGGGGCTAGCCTAGGTAAAAAGATACGAGTCGAAACATTTTTCCTGCAAAATAAATTAATGGCTAACAGTCGTTCATGTAAGACCATGTCAATACCAAGCCGCAAAAATCATGTTTTAACAAAAAAAGCCGACTTTCTGTTGGTAAAAATCATGAATTATATGATACTATATATCATTATAACTGTAAATGTTGTGGTATAAAACAGCTATAGTTCATACATGAGACAGTGTTGAAATATCAACAAGACATTTTTTGTCCATGCATGAAAAAACTAAAAGAGAACTTTAATAATGCAATGTATATAACGAAAAGTTTTTGCCCGCTTTGAACCGCCAGGAACCTTGTCCTCACCGGCAGAAACCTTTTCCTCACCGCCAGGAACCTTGTCCTCACCGCCAGGAACCTTGTCCTCACCGCCAGGAACCTTGTCCTCACCGCCAGGAACCGTGTACTCACCGCCAGGAACCTTGTGCTCACCGGCAGGAACCTTGTCCTCAACGCCAGGAACCTGGTCCTCACGGCCAGGAACCTTGTCCTCACCGCCAGGAACCTTGTCCTCAACGCCAGGAACCTTGTCCTCACAGCCAGGAACCTTGTCCTCACGGCCAGGAACCTTGTCCTCACCGCCAGGAACCTTGTCCTCATCGCCAGGAACCTTGTCCTCACCGCCAGGAACCTTGTCCTCACCGCCAGGAACCTTGTCCTCACCGCCAGGACCCTTGTTCTCACCGCCATCACATTTCACGACACTAAAATCAAGCATTTCACACGAACAAATATTCGCCATTCACGGCTCACGAAAATACCCTTTCCCACCCTCAATAAATTTAAAAAGGAAGGAGCACAGTAGGGAAATTCACACAAATACTTATGATTAGACCACGGCGAGCTCCACACTTCGCTCAACGTTTTTTTCTCAAAAAAGAAAATTTAATTACGAATTCTACACAAATAAATTAAAAATATTTTACTCTAGAGTTTTGAAGAATGTTTTTATTGTAAACAATGTACTGGTAGGTGCATTTTACCTCGATGTTTTAGTGCATTTTTTTACCCAGTCTTGGAAATTTAAAAAAACCCGCGTTTTTCCGTTACGTGAAAAGACTGGGCATGACAACAGTGTAGCGATTATAAATAACACTATAATGTTATTTATGTTAATTAATGTGTTATTTATAATCTCTATGAGTGGGCGTGGTTATTTTTAGTTCAATGGATTACACTACGCTTGCCCATAGTTAACTATGGCTTGCCCGGAGTCGGAGTCAAGTAAAGCTAGGCTTGTCACTTAGAAAATTTTTGGCTGACCGAAAAAATTGTTTCGTCATAGACCGACTTAGAAAGGTTCAAAACGCATATTAACAGAGATAAGTTTGTCTCAGGGGAATTTTAAAGCGCATTTTCACATGGCTATCATAGCAATGAGCCGTATGCAAATGAATCCTTGCCCGTCCATTACTATAAATTACACTATGGTTGCCCGTTGCCCGAATTTTGGAGTCAAATAAAGCTGGGCTTGTCACTTAGAAAATTTCGGGCTGATCAAAAAAAATTTTTCGACATAGACCGACTTAGAAAGGTTCAAAACGCATATTGAACAATATTGTTACACCCGATTCAGGCTTGTTCAATATTGTTGACAAGTGTGAACAACGTGGGCAGCAAAACATTGTTCAATATCCTGTTGAGCAGCGGGCTCGGCGTTTTTTGTCGTGTAAGCTAAGCTTGTCCGTGCATGTAAGCTAAGCTTGTCTTAGAAAATTTCGACCAGAATTTGATTTAGAAAATTTCGGCCTGACCGAAAAGATTTTTTCGTCATAGACCGATTAAGAAAGGTTCAAAACGCATATTAACGGAGATAGGTTTGGCTGAGGGGAATTTTAAATCGGATTTTGTGATGATTTTCTGAGTACAAACCGTATGCAAATGAGAATTGCTTAGCCGTGCTTAGCCGTCTTTTAATATACTTTCTACTATACGCTTAGCCGTTCGCCGGATTCTGGAGTCAACTATAAAGTTGAGCTTATTGTCTTAGAAAATTTCGACCAAAGTTTGACTTAGAAAATTTCGGGCAAATCGAAAAAATTTTTTCGTTATAGATGGATTAAAACACATATTGATGCAGAACGTTTTGGCACAGGAGAATTTTAAAGCGCATTTTGAGATAATTTTCTGAGTACAAGCCGTATGCAATTGAATTCTTAGCCGTGTTGTCTTAGAAAATTTCGACCAAAGTTTAACTTAGAAAATTTTTATAAACGAAAATTTTTATATAACGAAAAAAATTTTTCGTTAAGATCGATTAAGAAAGGTTCAACGTTTTGGCACAGGAGAATTTTAAAGCGCATTTTGAGATGATTTTCTGAGTACAAGCCGTATGCAAATGAACTTAGCCGTGTTGTCTTAGAAAATTTCGATCAAAGTTTAACTTTGGAGAATTTTAAAGCGCATTCTGAGTACAAGCTATATGCAAATCAGTAATCCTTAGCCGTGTTTTAATATAAATTCGACTACGCTTAGCCGCTAACCGGATTCTTGGGTCAACTAAGCTGAGCTTGTCTTAGAAAATTTCGACCAGAATTTGACTTTGAAAATTTCGGCCTGATCGAAAAATTTGCGTCAAGGGTTAAACTTCCGTACGGGGATTCATCCTATCCACGGCCGGGCCCTAGCAACCGCCATAGCAACGAGTGATCCCCGTATTAAGTCAAAACATTTAGCTGGATTTTTTATCAATTTTTATTGACTTTAAAAACGAATTTTTATCCACTTTTGACAAGAACTGGAAACAGGAGTACATAATTTTGTAAATAATTATGTAATAACACTGGAAAAGCAAAATTTTTGGAAAAATATCTAAAGTAAAATGACACGCGTCAAGACAGAGGTCGCAATTTCTCTTGGATATTTTGACTTGACTTTTAAGTAAACAAAAGTAAAACTTGACATGGAGAAAGTCAAGGTGAGTAAATATTTTATAATGAAGATGACTGTATAGGGCTTGTCGAAATAAACTAGTATTATTTTGATGTTTGAAGTGGTTTATTTAAAATGAATTATTTTGTACTGAATTATCCCAGGTGTGCAGTTCTGCCAATGCACTGTTCAGCTGCTCTCGAGGGCTACCTACCTTGCCTCCTTTACCACCCACTGTTGAAGCACCGTCCGATCTTTATAAGGTGAGATTTTAGCGTTTTCTGATATATTTTGTTTGTAGTAATAGTTTTATTTAGCGATGTTAAATTGAAGTTAGAAAATAGCTTGTTTTCATAGCTTTTTTGTACGATTGCCCATTGCATGGCGATAAAACATGATACTTTTTGTTTGTGGAAACATGTGTTTTCATGTTTGAAAACATTGCTTCTTGGGCTCTTAGTTTATCATTAATTATATTTAATATTAAACTTGCAGGTTGTCCAAAATTACTTGCGGCAGAAACCAATTTGGGTTACTGCAAAATTGGCTTTGTGGTAACCTGGATTTACCAAAACAAAAACTTGTCAGAACTTAGAATTTATTATTTTATATGTCCAAATAAATTGTTAAGTAACCCAATTAGATCACAGAACATGTAAAGAAAATTTAAATATTAACACTAATCCAAAATATGTACGTTAATCCAAAATATCTACCCTGCGAGCAAAGTCCTCTCGTATTTCTTCTTGGCACGGCACCTTTGTGACAGCACGGAGAAGCGAGAGAGACTGCAAAACTTGTGTATAAATTCATTTGAGCATGTGTGAAGGTTGCTTAGCAACTGCCTACTTCTTAGAAGAAGGTTTAATCTATAAGTAGTTTCTGGTTCGGTTGTTTCCGGCATCAAAACTGATTATAAAACCAGTTTCAAACCTGAAATTACACATAATTATCCAAGTTTTTGGATTGTTGGCTTCACAAAGAATATACACAATTTCTGCAGAGTCTCTGTTGCTTCTCTGTGCCGTGCCGAGAAGAAATACGAGAGGACTTTGCTCACAAGGTACAAAATATCTTGATCATAAACCTAAATCAAAACTGCCTTTATTCAACAACGTTAATCGTTCAACCTGACCTTTGTTTCCAGATTGTTCTTCACCATAGCGAGTATCCACCAATCATGAAAGATATGTCATGGACACAGGCTGCCCCATACAAAGAGACCATGTACCACAGAACCCCAAGCGAATCAATCGCTAATAATTACACACCCACCGCTAACGAACTGAAGATGAAAAATTTAGTCAAGATTCATCAATCTAGGCCTCACACTAGAGCTACCAGCCAACCTTGTATCCTTTAGTTCTGCATGGGGCTTTATAATCTACTGTAGGTATTATACGCTATAAATGTTTTTCACGAAGCACTATCGTGCAGCAGATGGTGGTCAACTAGCAGTTATCGGAGAGAAAATAATTTAGTAGTTTTGAGTTGATGGCCAATAAATAAAACTGCGAAAATTAATGTTCAATTTTCTGTCACCAATGCTGCAGTTGACCACTATTTAATTTCAGAATCTTTGTCAGAGAAACTTCTATGAAACTGCTTGAGTTGCCATTAAGTTTGGTCACTAAACATGACAAGTATATTGTAATATTCCTTGATAGTATGTAGCTCGAGATGTAACTCATTTCACAGCCAGGAGACCTGTGACTCATCACAGAAGCAAGTCTGAAGGAAGAAGACAGACTTTGAAACAGTAATGAAGTCAAAATATATATTGGATTTTTCTGTTCTCCCCTCTCTAGTAACCCCCCTCCCCCCTTCTAATAAGCCCCATCACAAATAAGCCTCCCTCGCTAATAAGACCTCTCTCTAATAAGCCCCCTTCTAATTAAGCCCCTCTCTCATAACCACCTCTGTAATACGTCCCTCTCTCTAATAAGCCCCTCTCTCTCTAAATAAGCCACCCTCTCTAAGAAGCCCCTCTCTCTAAATATGCCTCCCTCTCTAATAAGCCCCCTCTCTAAAAAATCCTCTCTAATAAGCCCCCTTCTAATAAGCCCCCTCTCTAATAAGCTCCCCTCTAAGAAGCCCCCCTCTCTAAATAAGCCCCTTTCTCTAATAAGCCTCTCTCTCTAATAAGCCTCTCTCTCTCTAATAAGCCTCTCTCTCTCTAATAAGCCCCCTCTCTAAGAAACCCCTCTCTAATAAGCTCCCCTCTCTAATAAGCCCCCTCTCTAATAAGCTCCCCTCTCTAAGAAGCCTCCCTCTCTAATAAGCCTCCCTCTCTAATAAGCCCCCTCTCTAATAAGCCTCCTCTCTAATAAGCCCCCATGCGGATGATTAGAACATTTACAATGTATGAACAAATGCAGCAGCTAAGAAAGAAACTCTCCCTCAACAGGGAAGCAAAAGTGGTTGCACCAAGCAGAGCTATAACTCCTGCAGAACAGTTGGAAATGATTAAAAGAATGGAGGAAAACACCGTCAGGAAATCTTTTGATGATATTAGTGACCCTTCAAAACAAGATCTCAAGGTAGTTTTATAATACACTCGTTATGGTATACAAATACAATCTTCCTATCATTAAACATTGTCTTAACGGGTAATTACGTTCAGGTTCATTATTTACATGCACATGTTGGAGAAAACCTCAGCGGAGGAGAGACTAGAGAGGCTTTAACCTTCTTATTTTGTCGTGTGCATGTGGATCATGAAATAATATAGTTGATTTCATCTGTATTTCAGCGTCATCAGTTGTATGATTAACTCTCTGGCTAAATGTGATTAATGAGACGTATTCTTTCTTGTATAGTAACATTACTATAGCTACACTAGAACCACGTGTTTCAAACATGCGTTGATTTTGGTTTGTGTTCTTTCAGCGGTACCATTTCTATATAACCAAAGGCGTACGTAAGGGCTCTCTCGCTAATTGTGACCCAGCCATCGTGAAACGTATTCTCGCCAATAAGATACCAGCAAGACTAAAATCAGACCCGGAACTCGAAACGTTATTGAGTGGATTATTGAACGAGGTCGAGGATGACTATAGTTTCAGTATAAGAAAAGCCATAGGTAATGTAACTGGTTTTTATGAATTATAATCTAATTTTAAAAAATATTGAGGGTTCCACTTTTCAATAAAACACATGTCCTGCAACGCTTAATGCTGACAAGTTATGTTTACTCTTTAGTGGATTACATTCTAATGGATCCTTCAGAAAGAGTTCGTCTGAATATAACCTCAATCCCGAAACCATTTCCACGAAGGTAACGATGATCATACACGCGAGAAGTAGTTTTAATATAGTATTTTGAAACATCGAGACATGCAGTGTTTTTATTGCTATTTTTATTGCCACTTTATTCTTATTTTTAGAACCATCCGGGCGCCAGTACCCTGGCACAACTCGTACAAGAAAGGAAAAGATCTCGTGATGAAAAATGTCTTTACAACCAACCCAGTTATGATGGAAATACAAAATGTCTGGACCAACAGGTATTAAAAGTACCGGTTGTCCCAAAAGATATTGGACACTGTTTGATTTCATGTAACGTAAAAGCTATAAAAGCTATCGCAATGAAATAAAGATCATTGCATTCAGAAAAGACTAACTTAGATTTTGATATATACTAACATTTGAATTTACATGCAATATTGAGCGAACCAAAATTTATTTCATTGCGATAGCTTTTATGGCTTTTACGTTACATGAAATCAAAAAGTGTCCAGTTTTTTGGGGGACACCCGGTATAGTACCGCGGAGTTAGTTCACATTAGAGAGTTTAAGATACTCCGGTTTCGGTGTACGGGTACGGGTAGCATGATTTTGGTTAGCAATATTTTCGTCGATGTATGTACCTTTACTCGTAATTAAGGTGCACATTTTTCGCATTGTATCATTGTCTATTGCAAGAAAACAGAAAAAGTATGATCGAATTACAGACATCAGTAAAACAAGATGACATTACTCGTACCCGTACACCGAAACCGGGGTATCTTAACCTCTCTAATAGTAAAAAAGTTACGTTACCATTGATCCGGTGTTACTACAGGTGGATGACTCTTTAAGTTGTGAACTGCTCTCTCTCTCTCTCTTGGAGTCCAGCGAGGGAAGTATATATTCAAATACACATTTTTCATCTAGGTTCTCCCAAGTTCGATTTGTGGACGGTGATGAATTGCACGCGTCAGGGTTGCCTGTGGTACCTGAAGAATTCCAGGAACTGGTCAGAAAACAATGTGTGCGGACACGAGAATTTCTTAAGAAAACGTAAGATCATTTACAATAAGGCCAAAAAAAATATATGTGGGTTTTCTGTTTCTTCTTGTGAAAACTTAGGTAGGGTAGGTTGGTTTTAACTTTTTTTTTAAACTTTTTTTTTATTTTCCTAACAACCGGACGCCATTTTGTTTAGTCAGTGCTTCCACATTCAAAAATATATTTCCCTAATATTGCCTGAAATTTCCATTTTTCACAAACGTTTTCCTCTAAGTGGAAACACTTACAATCATGATCCAATAAAAAAGTTTAGGGTCGGGATTTCGGCGTCCAAAAGCTAGGTAGGGTCGGGAAACCGGAAACCCACATTTTTTTTTGCCCAACAATGGTGGCGTCCAGTGATTGGAATCTTTCATTTTCTTTTTATTGTAAAGGCCCGTTTACACTTGCCATTATGCGATTTCTACCACAATTTTCTTCTTCTGATGGATGAGAACGAGTAGATGAATTATGAATGTTCTGAGTATATGTTCCTTCATCTGAGCATTTATAACTCATCCACTCTTTCACATCCATCAGAAGAACAAATTCGCACTAGAAAGCGCAGAAAAAATTGCAAGTGTAAATGGACCTTAATACGAATCCCAATGCCATCCAATTACTCATTGTTATGACAAATTATTGGCGTTATTTTGAATAAGAAAATATGTTTCCTGTATGCTTGTGTGATGTTACTCTGAGTGTACATCCACACCGGGCAGGCTTGAAAAATATGCCTGCATGGCCACGGTGGGAATCGAACCTACGACCTTTGGATCGCATACTCGAACCGACCTTTTGAATCGCATACTCGAACCGACCTGACCGCGTAGCTCAGTTGGCAGAGCATTGGGCTAGTATTCCAAAGGTCGTAGGTTCGATTCCCACCGTGGCCAGGCATATTTTTCAAGCTTGCCCGGTGTGGATATACACTCAGAGTAACATCACATAAGCATCTTATTCACCTGAGTACATTACACCAACACAGCAAAATATCATGTTTCCTGTAGTTGGGTACCCGAGTGTGCTAAAGTTCTCCTCGACAGCAAACATCACTGGACACATCTTATTCCAAGCAACGAAGGAGATTCAGCCACACTTATTCAGAAATTCTTCTCATGCGTCGCTGCTCTCATGTCTATACAACTCCGAAGTCTCGTTCTCAACTCACTCAAAGACTTCTTAGCGTTTTTAAAGATGTATCAAGTAAGTTCTGTGACGGAATATTTGGGGTTTCAGCATGAGTTACCAGTCAGCAATGAAATGTCGACACTTCTTGGAACAAGAAAGTTAAACTGAATTTCTGAATGGACAACTTGCATGTTAGACTAAAATTTAATCTAAGTAAAAAGAAGGGAATCAAACACTACAGTTAAAAAGAACGTAATGAAATCAGTAAAATTGCAAAATTTGGTTACGAAATGTTGTAAAATACAGAAAATATAGCCTTGCTTTCGGCTCAAAAATGGTAACAATTTCCGCACGTAATACAAACATACTGAAAATATGCAAACTTCGCAAGGCTATATTTTCTGTATTTTACAACATTTCGTAGCCAAATTTTGCAATTTTACTGATTTTGATAAGTTCTTTACGGGAATTTACTTTTTTTTGTCTGAATCAAAAATTAGTCTAACATGCAAGTTGTCTATTCTGCAAAATGACAATAGACCATTCCCATTATAGACTAATTTTAAAACTAGGCAAGGAGATGCAAATAAATCACCACAGCTAGAAAGAGCATATTAAAATGAGTAAATTTGCAAAGTTTGGTTGCGAAATGTTGTAAGATGCGGGAAACATAGCCTTGCAAAGTTCGCAAATTTTGTATACTTTTGTATTGCGTGTAATGGAATTTCCGCACGCAATACAAAAGTATACAAAATTTGCGAACTTTGCAAGGCTATATTTCCTCATTTTACAACCGTTTAGCAATCAAACTTTGTAATTTTACTACTTTTAGTATGCTCTCTTTAGCTGTGGTGATTTATTAGCATCTCCTTGCTTAAGTTTTAAAATTAGTTTATAATGGGAATTGTCTATTTTTTCCATTTAGGATGGCAATGACTTTGGTGAAACTTATCATGATCTAAAATATGTTGTTCAACAGGTTTGAAAAATAAAGTCTTTTATTATATAAACATAAGCGTTATATAGAGTTTTTGGCCACTGAGAAAAATCGTATTTAAAAACACGTAAAAAAACGATATTTTTACGTGTGAAAATATCATTTGTTGTAAAACGCATTGCCACGGACGTTTTATTGTTTTTCACTGAATTTTGTTTATATAATAAACAGAAAAATACATGGGTGCTTGGAAATACCAGATTTATTTATCTTTCAACACTCGAAATAAATCTGGTATTTCCGCGCATGCATGCACCCATGTATTATTCTCTATATCTTCCTGGGACTAAATCTGTTGTGCGCAACATAGTAACATTTTGATATTTTCCTTGTTTTCAGATTATGACAGTCCAGTTACATATTGATGGAGCAATGATCAGTTTTGATCCGCCATTTCGAGCTTTACGTGACATCCTTTTAACACTCATGTCTGAGATTGTTACCAGTGCCCAAGAATTACCCAGAGTAAGATGTCCTCCTCATTAAGCCTGGCCGGTGTACACTATCAAAGTTTCTGTGGTCACAGTGAGAATTTTGCATTGGTAATAATAATAATGTTTTGAAGGATTTGTAAGAAATGTGTGATGGAACTGACTTAGTATTAAACACTGAGTAAGTTTCCTCAAACATTTCTTACAAATCTTTCAAAACTTAGAATTTACCAATGCAAAATTCCTCCTGTGACCACAGAACCATTGATAGTGTACACCAGACTTTAGATAGCAAGGATGTATTGGTGGGCATGTAGAGTTGCCCTGAGTTGTTGCTGATAACTAACATCATCTATGTTTCTCAGGTTGAGACAGAGTTGCCCCGAGTTGTTGCTGATAACTAACATCATCAATGTTTCTCAGGTTGAGACAGTTGCCCCG